CAAAGCAGATCTGCAAGTGAGTCTAGCAAATTGCTAGTGCGTTAGCTTGCGAATTCACCCCAGAGACTACGAATCCCGTGTCACGTCTAGAACCTACATTACACTGCGCCTCCTTTTCGAAATCTGGAAGTCGTACGAACAACAAGCTACACATTAAAACAACACACCTTACTTTCAATATAGCGGTATGAGCTGATATCGACATGCAATGTTACGTCGGCAAGCCGGCAAACCGCTCTCGTCACGGGCACGGACCGCACTGCATCGATCCTGTGGCACGTGCAAAACGCGCCACCACCCCCAAAACCCCGCCAAACATGAGCAGGCATGGATACCCCCCCCACCCAGAACAGAACGACAGCAACATCCGAACATTGCATTGAAAAAGAGAACCTGCCCCAAAACTGCATCCGCGAAACGGATTGGTCCGGGATCCAGACTTCATAGCACTGCTCCGCCACGACGACTGGGGGCAAGGGGATGGTGGCGGCGATCAGGAAGGAGACGACGACGACGACGACGACGACGACGACGACGAATAGACGACGACGACGACGAATCGACGACGAATCGACGACGACGACGAATCGACGACGACGACGACGAATCGACGACGACGACGACGAATCGACGACGACGAAACGATGACGACGACGACGACGACGACGACGACGACGACGACGACGACGGCGACGACGACGAATCGACGACGACGACGAATCGACGAGGACGACAACGAATCGACGACGACGACGAATCGACGACGACGACGAATCGACGACGACGACGACGGATGCGACGGAGGCGACGACGACGACAACGAGCCGAGGGCTCCAGAGCCGGCGGCGCGCCGCAGATCATGCACCGCCGGTGCCTCTGGGAGCAGCCCGGGCAGAAAGCGAACCTCGGGAGGTCCGAGGAAGGCAGGGGAGGGAGGGAGGAGGAGGAGGGGGAGGAGAGAGGGATGGAGGGAGAGGCAGGAGGGAGGAGGAGGGGGAGGAGGAGGGAGGAGGAGGGGGAGGAGGCAGGAGGAGGAGGAGGAGGAGGGGGAGGGGGAGCAGGAACCTCGGCAGGTCCGAGGGAGCGAGGAGGGAGGGAGGAGAAGGAGGGAGGAGGAGGGGTAGGAGGCAGGAGGAGGAGGAGGAGGAGGAGGAGGAGGGGGAGGGGGAGCAGGAACCTCGGCAGGTCCGAGGGAGGGAGGAGGGAGGGGGGAGGAGGAGGAGGGATGGAGGAGGAGGAGGAGGAGGAGGAGGAGGAGGAGGAGGAGAGCAGAGAGAACGAGAGGACAGAGGAAGAGAGAGAGAGAGACAGAGAGAAAGAGAGAGACAGAGAGAGAGAGAGAGAGACAGACAGGCAGACCAACAGAGAGACTGACAGACAGACAGAGAAAGAGAGAGAGAGAGCGAAAGAGGTAGAGGGAGATATATATATATATAGAGAGAGAGGGAGAGAGAGAGAGAGAACAAACAAAAGACCGACGAACAGACCGACTGACAAAGAAATGAAATAATCCCAGTGCGACCCTACCTAGGAATTGGAGCCCCTAGGAAAGCAGCATTAGTAGTAACAGTAAAAATAAGCTAAAGCTAAGCTAAAGCTAAGCTAAAGCTAGGCTGAAGCTAAGGTAACGCTGAGCTAAAGCTAAGCTAAAGCTAAGCTAAATCTGAGCTAAAGCTAAGCTGAAGTTAAGCTAAAGCTAAGCTGAAGCTAAGCTGAAGCTAAGCTGAAGCTAAGCTGAAGCTAAGCTAAAGCTAAGGTAAAGCTAAGGTAAAGCTAAGCTAAAGCTAGGCTAAAGCTAAGCTGAAGCTAAAGCTAAAGCTAAAGCTAAAGCTCCCAAGGGACTGGGGGAACCGCTCCCAGGGGACCGGGGGAACCGCCCGGGGCGCATTGCACTGCCCGGCCCCTTTAAGCGAAGAAAGTAAGAACCCTTCTAGGCAGAACCTAGGTAGGGAACAAAACGAAAAATGGAGCAGGAGGAAAAGAGGAGCTAAGAGTCCAACCAAGACAGTCCTCCTCCTCCTCCTCCTCCTCCTCCTCCTCCTCCTCCCGTGATCCTCTTCTTCCTCCTCCTACTCCTCCTCCTCCTCCTCCTCCTCCTCCTCCTCCTCCTCCTCCTCCTCCTCCTCATCCTCCTCCTCCTCCTCCTCCTCCTCTTCCTTCTCTCCCTCCTCCACCTCCTAAGTTTCCTCCTCCCTCCACCCTCTCCTTGCTCCTGTGCCACTGAGGGTAGCACATCCGGAGGGGCTCGCCTGGCGAAGAGATTCGGGGGGAGGCTCGAATCGGCGATGCATCGCCGACAGACCAGCGACAAGCCGCCGACGGCGGGGCCTGACGTCCCTGAGCGAGATGGGCCACGGGGCCCCGCATCGGCGAGGAATGGGCGACTGGGGGTTGGTGCATCCTCCCGGTGGTGCAAAACCCAGGGGCCAGCTGACTGCCAACCTGCCCAGCGCAGGCTGTGGTGGGCTGCCCGCGCGCAGCCGCGACGCCCGTCTCCAGGCACGTCCTGTGACCAGGCTTGGCAGCAGCGCGGGCCAGGGAGGCGGTCGTCATCTGTTGTGCTCTGAAGCGTTCTGTGTTCGTAGAGAAGGTGCTTGAGATCTGCAGCCATTGCGCGGGGTGGGTTGGGCGCCTTCCTAGAATTCAGCTTAAGCCTGTTGAAGGGGAACACCGCCGGCGACGTCTGAGATCACCCGTTCTCTACCATGCCGAAGCCCTCGGTTCCAGCACCTGCTGTTTGCGCCCACACAGAACTCGAAGATAGGTGCTATTGGAGGCCATGGACCAGTGACCGTCGCGAGCTTCAGACCGCCTTCGGCCTTCTTGTCTGGTCCTCGACAAGCGTCACCTCCAGTGAGCCTGGAGCTGAGCTCGTCGATGGAGCGGAAACCAATGGCTCGGGTGTTGCTGGAGGTGCCCCTGGCCCAAGGTGCCCCCAGCTTCTCGCACCATTTGGGGGTCCCTGGGGCCCCCTGGGCCTCGTGAGGGGTGCCCTGGAGGCCCTCTGGGCCACCCCGAAAATCCTGGGGGGCACCTTGGGCCAGGGGTACTTCTAGCAACACCCGAGTGGCTGCCTGGACCCCAGTGCCGCTGAGCCGGGCCCCGCCCCAAGGCTGCGAGTGCGCCCACTGCTGCTTGGCCTCAGCCTCGACCGTGCCGAGTGCCTTCGGGCGTCCGGGCCGCCCGGCGGCCGCCCAGCGGCCAAGCGAGAGCGGCGGCTCCAGGTGCGGCTGCCTCACGCCGAGCGCAGGTTGCGCTGGCTGGGGATGCTCTTCGGAGACCCGTCGCATCGGAACGGTGAGGACCAACGTCACGCCAAGAGGACTCCGCGGGTCGCCCGGCGGCAACGTCATCATCGCCATCACCACCACAACCATCGGCATCATCATCATCATCATCATCATCATCATCATCATCATCATCATCATCATCATCATCATCATCATCATCATCAGCATCAGCATCATCATCATCAGCATCATCATCATCGTCCTCATCATCATCATCATCATCATCATCACCACCATAACCTTCGTCACCATCACCTTCACCATCATCAGCATCATCAGTATCATCGTTATTAGCATGATGATCAGCAGCATCGTCATACTTAGTAGGATCACTGTCATCAGCAGCAGCATCATCATCATCAGCATCATCACCATTGAGCAGCATCAGCATGAGCATCAGCATCATCCCAACCACCACCATCATTAATGAGCATCAACAACAGCATCATCAACATCCGCATCATGTCCATCACCGTCATCCTCATTATCGCCATCGCCATCACCACCACAGCCATAACCATCATCATCATCATCATCAGTACCACCACCACAACCACAACCATCAGCAACATCAGCATCAGCAGCATCATTCTAATCAGCAGCATCAGCATAATCATCAGCACCACTCACCATCACCATCGTCATCGTACACCAGCAGCCACATCAATATCACCATCATCACCATTCGTCATCACCATCATCCTCAGTCATTAGCAGCAGCATCATCGTCATTATCGACCTCAGAATCACTACAACCATCATCATCATCATCATCATCATGATCACACTCACCATCATCGTCATCACCATCACCATCATCAACATCAGCATCCTCATCCGCATCGTCATCAACATGATCATCATCGACAGCAGTATCAGCATCATGATCATCATCAGCAGCATCATCATAAGCATCATCCTCATCATCAGCAGGAGCAGCAGCTCCATTATCACAAACATTGATAAGCAGCATCAGCAGCAGCAGCAACAGCAGCAGCAACAGCAGCAGCAGCATCAGCATAATCAGCATCCGCTCTCCCTCGCCTCTCCCAATGTTTGCAACGGAGAACTCGTCGTAATTCGTGCAGATCTGGTTGCCGCAGCCACCGCATGGCAGCAGCCGCGCCTTCACCTTCGACAGGCATCGTTGTTGTCGTCGCCACCGTCGCTGGAAGAGGAGGAACAGGAGGGGCGGGGGAGAAGAAGCAAAGGAAAGAGAGAGAGAGAGAGGGAGGGAGGGAGGGAGGGAGGGAGGGAACGAGGAGCAGCAACAGCAGCAACAGCAAGTCCAGGGGTCCAGGGCAACCCCGGCACGCAGCACCGATGCTGCATTGACCCGTCGCGTCCCCAGCCCCGTCCACACCCGCCAGCTCGCGGCAGAAGGCGGCAGTCCCATCCAGATAAACCTCCTCCTCCAGCCGCCCCCCCTCCATCCATCCGTCCATCCATCCATCCATCCATCCATCCTTCTCCATCTCCTCCTCCTCGTCCTCCTCTTCCTCCTCCTCTTCCTCCAAATCCCTCCTCCACTTTCTTCCTCCAGCCGTCCTCCGCCCACTTCCTCCCGCCTCCTCCTCCTCCTCTTCCAGCCCCACCACCCTCTCCTTCATCCATCCTCCCCGATCCCTCCTCCCCCCCTCCTTCTCCACCCTCCTCCTACTCCATAGCCGTTTTGGCCCCGGGTTCTCCCCGAGCTTGCCGGCGCAACTCTTCAGAGCGCGGCCGGCGTCGGCGGGTCCCCAACCTCAGCAGCCACCTCGGGCAGGTCAGGGCGCTGGAACCTCTGGCCCGCCTCGCGCCACTGGTTTCCCCCGCGCGCTCCCGTTCCTCTTGGCCGTCTCCCCCCTGCGAGGGGCTTCTAGGGCTAAGTCGGGCCTGTCCCCCTACAGGGGGATTTTCGATGAAAAATCAAACATACCCCAAAAACAACCCCAAAAATGCCAAACAAATAGTATCCCGGCAAAGCAACCTAACAACGATGTGTAGGAGCATATCTGGAAGCATTCCTCTTAAGATTCAGATGAGAATCCAGTTGTAGAATTCTGCTGTTCTCGCAGTCGTAGTCGCATTCGCGATGACAGTCGCAGTGGCAACGGCAGTCGCAGTCACAGCCTCAGCCTCAGCCTGCCTCAGCCTCAGCCTCAGCCTGCCTCAGCCTCAGCCTGCCTCAGCCTCAGCCTCAGCCTGCTTCAGCCTCAGCATCAGTCTGCCTTCAGCCTCGGCCTCAGCCTCAGCCTGCCTCAGCCTCAGCCTGCATCAGCCTCAGCCTCAGCCTCAGCCTGCCTCAGCATCAGCCTGCCTCAGCCTCAGCCTGCCTCAGCCTCAGCAGCCTCAGCCTCAGCCTCAGCCTCAGCCTGCCTCAGCCTCAGCCTGCCTCAGCCTCAGCCTCAGCCTCAGCCTCAGCCTCAGCCTCAGCCTGCCTTGCAGCCTCAGCCTCAGTCTGCCTTCAGCCTCGGCCTCAGCCTCAGCCTGCCTCAGCCTCAGCCTGCATCAGCCTCAGCCTCAGCCTCAGCCTGCCTCAGCCTCAGCCTCAGCCTCAGCCTCAGCCTCAGCCTGCTTCAGCCTCAGCCTCAGTCTGCCTGCCTCAGCCTCAGGCCTCAGCCTCAGCCTCAGCCTCAGCCTCAGCCTGCCTCAGCCTCAGCCTCAGCCTCAGCCTCAGCCTCAGCATCAGCCTCAGCAGCCTCAGCCTCAGCCTCAGCCTGCTCAGCCTCAGCCTCAGCCGCTTCAGCCTCAGCCTCAGTCTGCCTGCAGCCTCGGCCTCAGCCTCAGCCTGCCTCAGCCTCAGCCTGCATCAGCCTCAGCCTCAGCCTAGCAGCCTCAGCCTCAGCCTCAGCCTCAGCCTCAGCCTCAGCCTGCCTCAGCCTCAGCCTCAGCCTGCAGCCTCAGCCTGCCTCAGCCTCAGCCTGCCTCAGCCTCAGCCTCAGCCTCAGCCTCAGCCTGCCTCAGCCTCAGCCTCAGCCTGCAGCCTCAGCCTCAGTCTGCCTTCAGCCTCGGCCTCAGCCTCAGCCTGCCTCAGCCTCAGCCTGCATCAGCCTCAGCCTCAGCCTCAGCCTGCCTCAGCATCAGCCTGCCTCAGCCTCAGCCTCAGCCTGCCTCAGCCTCAGCCTCAGCCTGCTTCAGCCTCAGCCTCAGTCTGCCTTCAGCCTCGGCCTCAGCCTCAGCCTGCCTCAGCCTCAGCCTGCATCAGCCTCAGCCTCAGCCTCAGCCTGCCTCAGCATCAGCCTGCCTCAGCCTCAGCCTCAGCCTGCCTCAGCCTCAGACTCAGCCTGCTTCAGCCTCAGCCTCAGTCTGCCTTTAGCCTCGGCCTCAGCCTCAGCCTGCCTCAGCCTCAGCCTGCCTCAGCCTCAGCATCAGCCTGCCTCAGCATTCAACATGTGGCCCGGGAATGGAGTTCTGGGAACTCGAAGAACACGAAGTGGCCTACAGTTGGCTCCGGGCATTCAAAATCATGCCCAGGAAGGGAGTTCTGGGAACTCGAAGACCACGAAGTGGCCTACAGCTAGCTCCAGGCATTCAAAATCATGCCCAGGAATGGAGTTCTGGGAACTCGAGGACCACGAAGTGGCCTACAGTTAGCTCCGGGCATTCAAAATCATGCCCAGGAATGGAGTTCTGGGAACTCGAAGACCACGAAGTGGCCTACAGTTAGCTCCGGGCATTCAAAATCATGCCCAGGAATGGAGTTCTGGGAACTCGAAGACCACGAAGTGTGTAACTGTTTGCTTAAAACGACTTCTGCAGATCCCTGTCCGGATGCCGCCCAGACTCCCCTGGGGAGTCATGATGCTCTTTTGACCCTATTAGAAACCTATCAGTCTTCGGTGCTAGGTAACAGAAAAATAATTCCCATATTATGTTTGAGCTATTTTTATGTTTGGTGCATTTTTTTAATATTTCGTCGAAAATACCCCTCTAGGGGAACAGGCCAGACATACAATATTCTACGGTCGAGCAAAGAACGCCAAGGGTTGTGGTGGAAGGGGGAAGGAGCGGAGGGACTGGTATTGTAAAGACTGTGTCCAACTCGTGTCGGGCAGGCCGCTCTTCAACTGGGGCTCCAATCTCAACTGCCTCTCTCGCCGCACGGAAAAGGAGGGTGTGACCAAGGCAAACGTGGAGCCTCCGCGGGGTGGACCGTGCAAGTCGAAGAGTGGAGCTGGTGCGGATCCTGCGCGCGTTCCTGGTGGCTCTTCTGAATACGACACCAAGCTCATTCAGCATTTGCGGGGTGAGATCGCGGAGCTGCGTGGGGCCAATTATGATGCTACGGATGCTTCACAGCTGCAGCACTGCAACTGGTCAGATGGCTTGGAACCTGCAGCTGGCACTCACGCTACTTCCTGGAGACAGATCAAGTTTGCGGCAGGCGTCCGAAGGCCGAAGTTCTTTGGGGTCCCGTCGCACGAGTAGTTGGCAAAGTATGGCGACATGGGCATACAACACATATGTTGTATTGGTACCGTGTGGGCTTACTGGCTTGCTCGTGCGGATGCGCTGCTGCATCGGGTCAGCCAGGTCGACGAGGATTCGATCGGCTCGAGTATCAGCAGCACCAACATGTGGCGCAATATATAGCGTGGGCTATGCGTCGCGTTTCCAAAACTGGCGGCCGGGAGCAAATAGACAACGTCGAGCACGTTGCCAACCAAGTCTTTGTGCGGATGCCGTCGAATTGGTTCTTGATGTGTCGGCCATGCTGCAGGCTCACTGCGGCGATTGCTGGGCCTACCTTGATTCGGACGGCAAGCCCACCGTCTTCGACAGGCTCACGGCAGAGGCGCATATTTTCCCAATATGGGGTTGTTGCCGTGGCCTCGTCAGGTGCGGTCGTGGCTGCAATGGAGGCGGTGGGCGCTTTGGCGCTTTAAGAAGGTGCTGCTTCTAATCCTGCTAAAAGGTTCGTTTCGTCCCGGTGGAAGACTCAAGAAGTTATCGAGCATGGTTGGCATCGGCTTCAAAGTGATGGTGCTACTATGCTCTGTGAAGGGTGCGTCACTCGGCATCGCTACATCAACCTTGCGAAGGCCATCCGACTGTCAAGGGCGGAGGTCGATGCATTTGTCCAACCGCAAAGGTCCGTTTCGAAGGTAGATGGCGTCCAGGTACCCCAAGACGAACGAGGCGCTCTGATGTCTGTGTCTTGGGTTGTCTTGTTCATATATATTCATGTTCAGGTCTATTTCTGCTTGCTGGCTCCAGCGCTGGATTGCGAATTGGTATTCTAGCTTTTGGTGCCTGCTTCGACAATGTTGTCACTCCTTGATGTGTCCTGGGATTGGCACGTACGTCGTTGTCCTGCTGAGGCGTTTGATCCAGGAAGGTGGTTCATCAGGCCCAGGCGAGCGTTTTCTTATTCGGCGTTTCGACATTGAGCGAGGAAGGGGGGGAGGGGGGGTCTCTGGCTCTGGACCTCTGCTTCGTGCGACCGTCCGCTTGCGACGGTGCGTCCTAGGAGGGAAGAATCCACCTGCTCGAGACAGGCGCCAAAAACAGCCAAAAACTGCTCCGTAGGGGGGGGAAAGGCGGATGCGAGGGCCCGCGCCGATCTTTTGGTTAGCAGCCGCAGGCGAGAGCGCCAACGGCGAGTAAGGTCCGAGCGGGCCGCGCGGGGGCCAAATTACCATTACCTAGCGCGGAGCAGAGCAAGACCTACCGCCAGGGGAAGCTTCAGCGCCGGGGCAGCAAGAGGAGCCGGAAGAACCCGCGCCGATCGGCACAGCAACGAATAAAAAACAATCACCAGCCGCTCCTGGGCCTGTGCAGCTGCCAAGCCGGGCTGGCAGGCGGGCCGGGGGAGCTCCCCGCGAGTCCTGCCGAATGCTGGCGTCCTCGTGGGCTTCCCGCTCCTCAGGTCGGCCTGCACCGTCTTCACTCCTGCTCCTCCTGCTCCTCCTCCTCCTCCGCCTCCTCCTCCTCCTCCGCCTCCTCTTTCCTCCTCCTCTCCTCCTCCTCCTCCTCCTCGCCCTCCTCCTCCCCTCCTCCGCCTCCTCCTCCTCCATCCTCCTCCTCCTCCGCCTCCCTCCATCTTCGATGTTCCATCCTCCTCCTCCTCCTCCTCCTCCTCCTCCTCCTCCTCCCCCTCCTCTTCTTCCTCCTCCTCATCAAACCACTCCTCCTCCTCCTTCGAACTATTGGCTTGTGGCTCGTTCAGATGCAGCCATCCCCCCCAAGCAGCCCTCTGCGCAGAGGGGGGGTGATCAAACGGGGCTCTCGCTATGCCCGCCAGGATTCCGTCATGATCAAACCTGAAGAACTCCCTCTCATGGTCCAGCTTGACGTCTCCTGATCGCGGTGGTGTTCGCGGTGTGGCACGCTCCTGCCCTCCCGACGGTCGTGGATCCTCCGCACGCCACCCCAGACCTCCCATCCATCATCCTGGCATCCTGGCCCCCACTGAGGGGTGTGCCCGTGCCACAGACGCGTGCCGAAGGTGAGGGAAGGGGAGAATGACAGAATACGCTCCTGGTATGTCTGCAAGGGTGTCGTCGACACCACATGCCTCGAGCTGCTCCTGCTCCTCCTCCTCCTCCTCCTCCTCCTCCTCCCTCCTCCTCCTCCTCCTCCTCCTCCTCCTCCGCCTCCCCCTCCTCCGCCTCCTTCTCCTCCTGCTCCTCCTCCTCCTCCCTCCTCCTCCTCCTCTCCTCCTCTCCTGCTCCTCCTCCTCCTCTCCTCCTCCTCCTCCTCCTCACTCCTCCTCCTCCTCTCCTCCTCCTCCTCCCCCCTCTCCCTCCCACCTCCTCCTCCTCCTCCTCCTCCTCCTCCGCCTCCTCCGCCTCCCAACCTCCCTCCTCCCTCCTCCCTCCGCCCTATTCCCGCCCCGAGGGGGTTACCTGTCGTGGAGGGGGGCACGACCAGTTCCCCTCGGGTGAGCTAAAATCCCCTGGGCAGCCGGCCCCAGGATTCGGCAGCCACCCTCCCCAGGAGGGGGGGGGGGGGGGGGCGATCGGGGGGTGGCGACCTGGGCTCCCCCCCTCCCCCCCCAGCAAGGGTTAGGTCGAGCATGTCCTCCTTACAGGCGGGTTTTGGACGAAAAATTAAAGATGGCCCCAAAAGATTCAAACAAAGTCAAAACTACTCAGAAAAATCGTCCCCTGACGTTTTTTCTAGCTCTGAATCCTGTAGAGGGACACGCCCAGCTTAAAGCAAGGGGCCTCCAGGACCCATCCTCTGCTCGCCGCCAGGCTCTGGGAGGCGTGGCGGATGGTTGAGTGCGGTGCCGCGCTCCCTGCCCCTTCGGGCATGCGCCCATGATTTGTGATGCGCCTTGGGCACTTTCTTGACGAATTATGGGCGTTTGTTCGACCTCTCAGAGAGCAGGGTTCAGTGCGATTCGTCTCATGGTGTCATTCTACTATGTCGGGCATGGCTTCCCATAGCTTGCACTGCCCCTATCTGTTCATGCACTCCAGGGTTTCACGGTACCGTTTCACCTGTCCCAAAGCTGTTTAGTCACTTGAACGTTAGGTCTCAGGCATCCCGTAGATATCCGCTCCGGAGGCTGCCAAGTCTTTTTTGACTTTTCGACCACTTGACGGCTCAGGCCTCGAGCGACCCCACGGCAATTGAGCACGACCACGCGCTACTGCCACCGGCCGCCGCCTCCGCCTCCATGCTCCCTCCTCATTCCTCCTTCCTCCCTCCTCCCTCAGCGCTCCTCCCTCCTCCCTCCTCCCTCCTTCCTCCCCCCTCCCTCCTCCCTCCTTCCTCCCCCTTCCCTCCTCCCTCCTCCCTCCTCCTCGGCGGAAGGAACGCCGCCGCAGCAGCGGGGCCTTCCTGCGCCCCTCGGAGGTGCCGTGCCGGGCGCAGAAGCGCGCCGTGTCCTTCCGAGCGGGCGGGCTGGCCGAGCCCATCCAGAGGGGTCGAGGGCGCCTCCTCCTCCTCCTCCTCCTCCGCCTCCACCATCCTCCTCCACCTCCTCCTCCTCCTCCTCCTCCTCCTCCTCCTCCTCCTCCTCTCCTCCCCCCTCCTCGTCCTCCTCCTCCTCGTGATCATCATCATGAGCATCATCATCATCCTCATCATCAGCAGCAGCATCATCAGCATCAGCATCATCATCGTCAACCTCATCAGCAGCATCCCCCTCCTCCGCCTCCTTCTCCTCCGTCTCGTCCTCGTCCTCCTCATCCGCCTCCTCATACTCCTTCTCCAGCCCCTCCTCCTCCTCTTCTTCTTCGTAACATTTTATTAATGTGCATAGTAGTATCGTTCGTAGTATTATTATTCGTCTTAAGTAGTAGTGTTGCTATTATTCTTCTCCTTTGCATTATTAGTGTTAGCCGTCGTCTGCTTATTATATGTAGTAGTATGATTCTTCGTTGTCGTATTACCCGTATGATTCGTCATGTTCGTCGTCGTTTTCGCCTTCGTCTTCGTCGTATTACTCTTCTTGTTAGTATTCGTAGTGTTAGTCGTATCAGTATTATTAGTATTATTAGTATTATTAGTATTATTATTATTATTATTATTATGAATATTATTAGTAGTAGTAGTAGTAGTAGTAGTAGTAGTAGTAGTAGTAGTAGTAGTAGTATTACTAGTAGTATTATTATTATTATTATTAGTAGTAGTAGTAGTAGTAGTAGTAGTAGTAGTAGTAGTAGTAGTAGTAGTAGTAGTAGTGGTAGTATTCGTAGTAAGTAAAGTAGTAAGTAGTACTAAGTAGTAAGTATTAAGAATAGTAGTAGTAAGAAAGTAGTAGATAGTAAGTGGTAGTAGTAGGAGTAGTAGTAAATTCCTTCTATTCCTCCTCTCCTCCTCCACGCCCCTGACCCTCCCCCCTTCCCCCTCCGCCTCCTCCTCCTCCTCCTCCCCCTCCGCTCCTCCTCTTCCTCCTTCTTGCCCTCCTCCTCCTCCCGCCCCTCCGCATCCTTTCTTATCCCCCTCCCTCCTCTCCTCCTCCTCCTCCTCCTCCTCCTCCTCCTCCTCCTCCTCCGCCTCCTCCTCCTCCTCCTCCTCCGCCTCCCTCTACCTCCTGCCGCCTCCTCCTCCGCCTCCTCTTCTTCTTGTTAGCATGATTAGTCGTATGGTGCTTCTTCTTCGAAGTGTTAGTATTAGTATTGTTCGGATTCATATTATTCGCGTTCTTAGTCTCATTGTTGGTGTCCTTCTTTTCAGTATTATTTGTATTATAATTATTAGTCGCGTTATTATTTGTAGTATTAATAGTATGATTAGACTGCTTCTTCTTCATCCTCCTCCTCCTCCTCCTCCTCCCCCGCCTCCTCCCCCCCCGCCTCCTCCTCCTCCTCCACCTCCTCCTCCCCCCTCCTCCTCCGCCTCCTCCTCCTTTTCTTCCTCCTCCTCGTCTCCAAATGATTATTCGTCAAACCTGTGTATTATTTGTTATAGTATTACGCTCCGCGTTCTTAATGTTACTATTCGCATTGGTAGCCTTACTCGTAGTATGATTGGTCTCGGTGTCTTAGTATCATAAAAATCACAGTCGTATAATGATGAAAAGCCATCGTGTTAGTATTAGCAGTGTTCTGCTTAGTGGTTGCACTCGTATTCCAAGATGCTCGCATTACTATATGTAGCGTTTTCTTGTTTTCATCATGGCAGATGCCGTAATTATATGTATGAGTATCAGTCTGATGCTTCTTCATATGAGTATTCCTCCTTCGTCCTCCTCATTTTGGCGCAAGCGATCGCACGGCCCTCCTCCTCTGCGCCTCTCCTCGGAGGCGTCGGCATGGCGGGGCCTAGAGGCGCTTCCTCGGCCGCTGCTGACCTCGCGCCCCTGGTGGCGGCGGCGGTCCGCGCGGCCGTGGACGGCGGAGCCCCGCGGCGCACCGTGGCTGCGGTGGCGCGCTCTGCGGTGTCGGCGGCGGCCGCTGCGGCTGCGCCCACGCCGGAGGGGCCGCCCGCTGCAGACGGCGGCGCGGCGCGCCACGCACCTGCGGTGCGGCTGCCGCTCCGCCGCGCGCCGCGTCGGAGGCGAAGCGGGGAGCGGCGCCGTCGGGCCGCCGCCAGCGCCCTGCTGGGCGGCGCGCCCTGGAGCGGGGGGAGGCGGCGATGGACGCCCACATGGCGGTGGTGGAGGCTGGCGCGCTCTCGGCGCTCGTCGGCCCTGCGGCTGCGGCCATGCACGGCGGCGGCGACGCCGACCTCCTCGACGACTCCTGGGCGGAGGTGCCCCCTCCGCGGTCGCGGAGGCGGCGTCCGGAGGCTGCTGCTGCTGCTGCTGGAGCGGCTGGGGCGGGTGCTGACCCCCCGGCCGCGGAGGCTGCGCCTGCGGCGGCGGCGGCGCCTGAGGAGCGCGCGAGCCTGCTCGCGCTGCTCCACGAGCGCTGCGGGTTCGGGCCCGAGCTTGACGCCATGGACGTCGACCGCCTCCTCCTCCTCCTCCTCCTCCTCCTCCTCCTCCTCCTCCTCCTCCTCCTCCTCCTCCTCCTCTTCCTCCCCCTCCTCCTCCTCCTCCTCCTGCTCCTGCTCCTCCTCCTCCCCCCTCCTGCTCCAACTTCTCCCTCCTCTCTCCCCCTCCCTCCGCCCCAGAGAAGTCCCCGAGGAGCCCGTGAGTTCTGAGAAGTCCACTGCCCTCTGCAAGAGGCTCCCCACAGCCGGGCCCCCAGTTTTGTCCGCCGCCCTCTGCCGGAGCGACGGCGGCGATGACGGTAATATGACCGCGCCGACTGCAGCGACGGCGACGGCGGAGATGGCGGCAACCACGGCGAAGAAGGGAGAGAGTGAGCTCTGTGGCGAGGGGTAGAAAGCGGGGTGAGACCCGGACGAGGGCCCAAGTCGCCTCCGAGCAAGGGCCTGTGATCCCCGAGCCCCGCTCCGGCCCCTATCCTCGATGCCGTGGTCCTCGAGCCGCGATCCCCGAGCCCGCTCGACGTCGGCCTCCACGCCCCTCATTGAGGCCGCCCTGGCCAGATCTTCATCCCGGATACTCGGCCCGCACGAAAAAGGGGGGGGGAATAGGGAAAGGGGGGGTTACGAAATCTGCGGCATGCAGCTGGATTCGGCCCCGCCGCCGGGCCCATTCCTGGATACATGGCCGCCTCCCGGCGCCGGGAGGCGCCGGGAAAATCAGCCAGGTGAGCTGATTCTCAAACCCCCCCTTTGCTATCTCCCCTTTCGCCCTGCCCGAGATATGTAAGTTTTTGACGGTCCTGGGCCAAAAGCGGGCACCGAGGCCGGAATTCGGGAGAGCCCTGTGGCGCGCCTTCTTTGTTCGATCGCCGATCCCTGGAGCCTGGACGCTCGAAGATCGATCCTGGGCTTAGCTTAAGTCGGGCGTGTCCCCCTACAGGGGGATTTTCGCCGAAAAAATAAAATACTCCAAACAAATTAAAAAGATGCCCGAAAATACTCCAAAAAAAGTCCCCATACTATTTTTCCCGACCTAGGCTCTGCCTAGAAGGGTTCGTACTGTCTTGGCTTAAAGGGGCCGGGCAGTGTAATGCGCCCCAGGCGGTTCCCCCGGTCCCCTGGGAGCCCAGCAAAAGCAACAGCAAAGGTAAAAGCAAACGCGCGGTTCCCCCAGTTGTGCTCCCTGGGTGCCAAGCAAAAGCAAAAGCAAAAGCAAAAGCAAAGGCAAAAGTGAAGGCAAAAGCGAAGACAAAGCAAAAACATAGCATAGCATAGCATAGCATAGCATAGCATAGCATTGCATAGCGCAGCATAGCATAGCGCATCCTAGCATAGCCTAGCCTAGCCTAGCCTAGCCTAGCCTAGCCTAGCCTAGCCTAGCCCAGCAAAGCATTGCGCAGCATAACATAGCATTGCATAGCACAGCATGGCATAGCATAGCAGAGCAGAGCATAGCAAAGCATAGCATAGCGCAGCACAGCATCCACTATTGCTGCTGCTATACATACATATATATATGTGTATGAGTATGTGTATACACATGTATGTGCTTATATGTGTGTGCCCGTATGTTCCATGCATGTTGTCCGTCTGTGGGCCATCTTGAGCCCTTAGTGGGGCAGCTGGAGCCCTTAGGATTCACGAAGGTTTCGCACATAGCACCGGCCGGGAGACATGTAACCCGACGTATTATCGCATGTCCTAAATGTCTTTCCATCTGTGCAAATATATGTGTAGCTATATATATATATATACACAACGCCCATGTGGAATGCTGCATGTGTGTGCGTGTGTGTGTGCCTGTATTTGTTCAGCACCGCGTCGTAATCCCGTCCATCCTCGTTGCCGATCGGCGTTTACCGCTCCTACTAATGTTGCTTTCCTAGAGGCTCCAACTCCTAGGTAGGGTCGCACTGGGATAATTTGACTATTTTTGAATATTCCCCCTGTAGAGGGACAGGCCCGACTTAATCCTGGGCCTTGGCTGCGCTGCCTCAGAGGCTCCCACAAGCTGGGCGGACGACAAGGAGAAGGGAGGGGAGGAAGCGGAGGGCGAGGGCACAGGCTGGTCGGAAGAGGTGGGCAAAAGCATGAAGCAAGTAGATTGGCGTCAGGCCCTCCCCAGGAATCACAGCACAGATCGAGACCGTGCCGACTCTTGAAGCAGGAAGACGCTAGAAGTATACTGGGATCTGGAAACGCAACAATACATAGGCGTGTAGTTGAGGGAAGGAGGAGGAGGCGGAGGAGGAGGGGGAGGAGGAGGAGGAGGGGGAGGAGGAGCAGCAGGAGCAGCTCACTCTCGCAAGCCCGACTCCCCTGGAAGACAACAGAGTAGGGATCCTGGACCCCTCTGACCTCGACCTTCCATCCTGGATCCCGCGCTCCTCGAGACAGGGTCCCTCGATCCTGGAAGCCTCCACCCTCGTTCCTCGATCTCTCCGAACTCGTTCTTCGATCCCTCCAAACTCGACCCCTCGACTCTGGATCGCTCGCCCTCTCGGGCCCTTTCTCCCACGGCCCCCCTGACCCCTCCCACCTGGACCCTGGATCCCCTCCGCCCGCCGCTGGCGAGGTCCTACTTCTGCTCCTCCTCCCCCCCCCCCTCCTTACCCTCCGACTCCCACGCCCCGATCGCTCCCCCAGCTCCTCCTCCCCCCCTTCCCCCACCCCCCCTGCCTCCCCCTCCCCCCTCATCCCTCTCCCTCCCCTCCCACTGCTGCCTTCCTCCACGCCTCCTGGGCTCCTGGCGAGCGCAGCCTCGCCTTGCCTCGGCAGGAGGAGGAGGAGGAGAAGGAGGAGGAGGAGGAGGAGGAGGAGGAGGAGGAGGAGAGGGAGGAGGAGGAGGAGAAGGAGGAGGAGGAGGAGGAGGAGGAGGAGAAGGAGGGGGAGGAGGAGGAGGAGGGAGGGGGGAGGGAGGGTAGGGAGGGAGCAGGGAGGGGGGAGGGAGGGAGGGAGGCAGGGAGGCAGGGAGGGAGGGAGGAGGAGGTGGAGGGAGGAGGAGGAGGAGGAGGAGGAGGAGGAGGAGGAGGAGGAGGCGAAGGAGGAGGAGGAGGAGGAGGAGGAGGCGGGAGGAGGGAGGAGGAGGAGGAGGGCGGCAGGTGTGAGGACCCGGAGGCAGGCCGCGCACCTCCCCCGCACGGTGGCGCAGGGCGCCCGCCTGCCGCCCCCCTTGCGGGGCGCGGCGCCGCGACGGGCCGGTCCTTCTGCAGCAGCACGTAGCCCGCCGGGCGCCCGAGCAGCCCGTCGCGCTCGCCGCGCGCAGTCGGCGGCGGCTCGGCCACGTCCGCCGCCGCCGCCTTCGGCCGAGCAGCGATCGTCGTCGTAATCGTCGTCGTCGTCGGCGTCGGCGTCGGCATCGTCGTCGTCGTCGTCGTCGGCGTCGTGGTCGTGGTTGTCATCGTGGTCGACGTCGTCGCCGCCACGGTCGTCGCCCTCCTTGAAGGCGACGTCGTCGTCGCTGCCCTTGTCGCCGCGGCCGTCGCCGTCTTCGCACGCGCAATCGGCGTCGCCGTCGGAGAATGATGAGGCTGCAAAGCCGATGCCTACAAGCTTCGTCGAGAGCGAGACGGGGGGGAGGGGGGGGAGGAGTAGGGGGGAGGGTGGGGAGGAGAAAAGGATGAAGACGTTGGAGAAGGAAAGGGAGTGGGGGGAGGGAGGAACGGAAGGGAGAGGAGGGGAGGGAGACGGGAAAAAAAAGGGGGTAGAGGAGGAAGATGAGAAAGGGAGACTCAATGAAATGGGACGGGGAGGGAAGGCAGGAACCGTCCAAATGGGGGGTACGATGAAGTAAGGAGTCCGTGCAAAGGGGAGATGGCCAGGGAAAATTGAAGGGAGGAGCACGAGGGAAGGAAGTCGGGAAGGAGACCTGACGAGCTTCGGCCAGCGCCCGTGGGGCCGCGGCCAACGGAGGCCAGCAACGAGGGGGACGGCGGCGGCGACGGCGGCGGCGGCGGCGGCGCTCGCGGCAACCACGCCGAGGGCGCCGGCGCCGACGACGACGCCTCCGCCGCCAGCGACGGCGGCGACCACGGCGGCGGCGGCGGCGGCGGCGACAACGGCGGCGCCGGAGACGACGACGGCGCCTGCGCCGCGGCAGGCGCAGCCGCGGTCGCCGCCGCGGCCGCGGCGGGGGGAGGGGCGGAACAGGCCGCGGCCGCGGGCCTGGCCGTCCTCCTGGGACGCGCGTCGTGTCCGCCGTCGCCGCCGCAGCCGTCGCCGTCGCCGCCACCGCCATCGTGAGCTCGTCCTCCGGAGGCCAAGCGCCGTCGTCGTCGGCGGCGTCGTCGTCACTCGTCGTAACTCGTCGTCGCTCGTTGTCGACGTCGTGGCGGCGGTCGTCGTCGTCGCCGTGGTGGTTCGTCGTGACTCGTCATCACTCGTCGTCGTTGTCGTGGCGGCCGTCGTCGTCGTCGTCGTCGTAGTGGTCACTCGTCGTCGCCGTCGTCGACGTCGTCGTCGTCGTCGTCACTCGTCGTGACTCGTCGTCGTCGTCGTCGTCGTCGTCGTCGTCGTCGTCGTCGTCGTCGTCGTCGTCGTCGTCGTCGTCGGCATCGTCGTCGTCGTCGGCGGCGGCGTGGCAATCGTCGTCGTCATCGCAGCCCTCCTTGGCAGCGAAAGCGGTAGCGGCGGCAGCAGTATTCAGCACCGACGGGGGCGGCGACCGCGACGATGACGGCCATGGCGGCTATGGTGATGGCGCAACTGGCGACCAAAGCCGAGGCGGCGACGACCACCACGGCCACGACCGCGTTGACAACGACCACCACCACCACCATCATCACGACGACTGCGACGAGGGCGAGAAAGGGGGGAAGGTGGGGGAGGGAGGGAATATACAGGGAGCCCTCGTCCTCCCCCCTCCCCTTAGTCCTCTCGACTTCATTCCACTCCCCGCCATCAGCCCACCCCTCCGTCCCACCCAATCCTTCCCTCCCCGTTCCTGAGTCACCCCCCGTCCCTCCCTCCTGCCTGCGCCCCTGTGATCCGAGATCGTCCTCATCTGACCCCATGCGTGATGATCTTTACTTGATTCAGTGCGCGGGCTCATTTTTTGACGGCTCCAGAAGTCCAAGGTGGCGGAAAAAAAGCAAGATGACGGGCCTCCCCACTCCCCTCCTCCTTCTCCTCCTCCTCCTCCTCCTCTTCCTCTTGCTCCTCCTCCTCCTCCTCCTCGTCCTCCCTCCTTGTCTCCCTTTTGACGTTTGGCAAACATGAGCGACGAGGCTGATGCGTTCTCCGTCTCGTCCTCCGCCTCCTCACCTTCAGACTCATCATCACCATCATCAGCAACATCGTCAACCCCACCACCACCACCGTCGTCATCAGCAAGAGCAACATCGTCATCATCATCGCTATCGTCATCGTCGTCGTCATCGTCGCCATCGTCATCGTCATCATCATCGCCAGCGTC